AAACATTCTAAACATCGCTCATCAATTAAGAATCAAATGGGGCATTGAGTTGTATACTTTATTTTTTGTGCAAGCAGCAATGCTGGTTTAGAAAGACCAATATCACTACGACCTAAAAGATCTATATCTATATTGGCTATAGTTCACTGCTAAGGCTTATATCTTAAATGAATAGGAGTTGCTTAGCTGTGAGTAATTTTACTTCTTCTGGACAAAGTACATAGTTTCCCAGATGAGTATTACGTTTGCGCATTAAGGGTCCACAATCACTTAGGATGTACAGAGGCGTTACTTTTTTATTTTATTTTATTGGGACAACCAACAAGACATACACGAACACAAAATAAATACTACAAAACGCAGGAAAGTTTATATCTAAGTGTCGTCTTAAATGTTACCACAGCATGCAATGTGAACTAAAAATATGTTCTTAAAATTATTGTAACAATTTGAGTTATTATTAATTTATATTTTTAAACTAGACCCAAATGTTAGCTAACAGTAAATGGGTGCATTTGGCAGAAAAAAGCGCTAGCAAGCGCTTACAAGCGCTAAAATAGATTTCGGCCAGGACACGATTGCTACTTCAGTAGCGCTGACACAATCCGCCATTTTGCTTATTTAATTTGTTTGTTTTGAAGTAGAGTTTATAAGTTGTTTTGTGCAATATTAGTTTTAAGTAATATAATGACATGAATAAACAAATACATGTTATTAAAAATTCACCATTGGTAAGTTTTTAATATGAATACTTTACAAACATATATTTAAATTAGTTTAGGTTTCCCAGTTAAAACTAACATCGTGTCCTGGAGGAAAATAGCTATTTACGATTTGACAGCGCTTACAGCTTACGATCGCCATTTTGCTTACAAGCGCTTGCTAGAACTTTTTTCTGCCAAACGCACCCAATAACTGCATAATTTTACGCTTGAATTTTAGAGGCCTATCAGCATCGATATCGATGTAACATGCCTTGCAGAACTTGTCATATTGCCTCCGTTACCTATTTATAGTGGGATGATGACCCAAATTAGTTTTACTGCCCTTAACTGAAAAGTTGACGTATCGGCTGACACGCACTAGCTTGAAACTTAGTTCATACGGACAGACTACGGTTCCGTTGATGATTTTGTATAGCAACTTGCAACCCAGCAAAAGCCTCCACTCTTTAAAATACGTCAGCAGGTGTTTGTAAGAGGGTAAATCCTTTATTTTGTAGGTTTAGTACGAAAGATGTCACAAAAACCAACTTTTGAATACGCTCTATACGTTTCAAGTAAACATAATAAAATGGAGACCGGACCTGGCTGCAGTGTTTGAGGTCGGAGCGGACTAAAGATTTGAACACGGAGAGGTCGCCTTAAGTTCTTTGAAATCTACGCAACACAAACATTTGAAAACTCCTTGTAACAATTCCGTCAGTGTGTTTATCAAACCGCAAATTTTTGTCAAGTACTACGCCAAGATCTCGAACAGACTTCACTTCCGCCAAAAGATGACCATCAATATTATAAATCGGTGTCGGAACATTTACAAACCTTGAGAATCATATACACAAACACAACAACAACACAACACACAAACTTAACACAACAATACATTTATCGAAGTTCCATAATAGTCTTTTCTTGACGTACTATAAAAACATCCGGTCCAAATCCTCCTGCATTAGGAGTCTGTTCGAAACTGTTCGTCTGTTCGACACTGTGGTCTCTGATTTGCAATAACAATTTCATATCATCTGCATACATAAAACAAGTCACGTAAGTAAAAACAGACGCAATATCATTTATGAAAATATTAAAAAGAATTGGATCGAGATGGGAAACCTGGGGAACGCCAGACGTAGGTAGCCGGTTGTGAGAAGTATTCATTTACAAAAACTCTCGTTTTTCTCTGCCTGAGTTATGAAGAGAACCATTCGAGAAGATGTTATGGTCTACAATGTCCAGAGACAAGCGCGAATCAAGAGACTTATAGACATGGTCCACAAACGAAACAAGATTTGTAGCTGTGAAACGAGATGTCAAAAAGGTCGATTGTTGGAGAAAGATTATTTGTTTTATGTGCCAAGCTAAAAGAGGACAAACTAATGATTGAAAAATTTTACCGAAGAAAAACAATATGGATATTGGTCTGTAATTTCTGACGGATCCTGGGTCCCCTGATTTATAAATTGGCACAATACGTGTCTCTTTCTAGACAGAGTTTATACTCCAGTGTTCACGGCGTTTTTAACGCGTCTTTTCCGGTACTCCTACTCTCTGGGCGTAGTTCCGAAATCATGGAAGACAGCTTTAGTGCACCCGATCCCTAAAAAGGTGACCACTCAGATCCGTCTAACTACAGACCTATCGTCATCGCCTACTTGTTCACCAAAATAATGGAATCCATTATAAACTGCCAGCTCATGCGGTACCTTGAGGTTCACTAGCTGATTAGTGACCACTAATGCAGTTTTTGACGTGGGGGCTGCACTACACTACAACTTAAAATAATACAAAACTGGGGTTGCAAGCCTGCCTGCCAAGCGCTACAACAATTAAAAATACTCCTCCCTCCACTTGAGTTACATGAGTTTGGCGCGCGATAAAATACCCGTCGATTGAGTCACGCCACTTAAGATAAATCGTACGCCACAGGCGATCGGTTCACGTTCATAAACAATTGATTGATGACTGTAGTTCTCAAAATTCAATAAAAAAGTGATGTTTATATAACTGTCGAAGAATAAATGTTTTCTTAACAAGTATGTTTCATTTAGCAACATTTTATATGTATTGTACATTTTAGATCTTGATCCAACATACGCAAAAGAGATTTTTTATTATTTTTAGCGATATTTTTTTTCATAAAATTTTATTTCAAAAAGTAAAGCGATGACCACTTCTTTTAACGAATGCAAAATATAGTTGGGTTCATTAGGTATGCGAAAAAAAAATCAAAAAAATCATGTAGAACTTTTTTATTTACAAGACTTCAAATATGACCTTACGTAAAGAATTTACAAAAAAAATTACATAAAATATTTGTTTTCGACCTACCTATACCTCGTATCTCAAATATTTTTTACTTAAAAGGCAAAGGAATTCATGCCCATTATGCCTAAATACTGGTTTCATCGTTAATGCAAACGATTTTTTTAACTTTTTTTATTTTTAATATATCTAGGTAGGTGTGGGCAGTACATACAGTACACAAACTCAATTTAACGTCGTTCGTCTTTGGGTACTGTATTACCCAAACTCAAGCAAGCGGATCTTTGAAGGAAACCTATGTCCAGCAATGGATTTTCGACAGGCTGTAATCGTAAATATAAATATTATTATCATCAGCATATCAGAAAACCTCACTATGAAATGGTAGTAGATTTAAAAAAAGAAGATATTTGCCAGAGGAAAATAGTAAACCTTTACCAAGTCTCTCGGCTTTTTCCTCGTCATTAGGTACAGTGATATAATGGTTCAGTAGCTTCTTACCCTTTCGGATATGTAACTAATCTGTAGAAGAGCTCTCTTTCTCACAGCTTACCCAGCGTAAATTAGACATTTCAGTTTTCAGTTTCAGTTTCAATCCTTATAAGTGACTATGCAAAAAAGAAAAGAAAGAACAAAAAAAGATAACACAATAGTGTTTTCTTTCGTAATCGATGATATTTGTCAGTATTTTACTGACTCAATATCTGCTGACCATCAAAAGAACTGTGTAGCTCACAGTCCATTTGTCAGTCACAGTCAGAACTCACAATACACACACAACAGTCATCCAAAATAGCTTTTAGTGTATCTTATAAAAACATTACGCCGTTACTCTGAATGAATCCACAATAGCTCCTGAAATATTCATAATAATTAGTGATATTTGTAGGACAAGAATTTAAACTAAAATCTCCTATTACTAATACCGCACCGTAATTATTACAATATTCTTCTATTATTTTAAACATTATCATATAGTCACCTTCATTGCTGTTGGGCGGGATGTAAATAACGCAACACAGAAACAAAAATCTCTCGTATGTAAGTCAACAGTTGCACTTACTAATTCAAAAACGTTAAAGTTATTAAGTAACCTAGGATCACCACTCGTCACAGTTCGAACCGCGATGTGGCCACTGAACACGCGTCTCCCTGCTGTCGTCCGTCCGCTTGATCGCAACGAATTATATGATATCCGGAAGGTATTAATTCCGAATCGTGGATCAGGTCGCTGCTACCAGTTTCTGTTATCGCGAATACATACATGACTGCATTAAGAGCCATGTATGACGCACTTGTCATTAGTCATCTGGAACCTAATGAAGTCGTAAGGGCTCCGTATGAAGCAAAGTATAACGTAATGTTGGAGCGTATTCAAAATAAATTTAGGTGGAACTTGTACTTTAAGCTTTACGGGATATATCCATTTTATCCGTTGATGTATCCTAATCTTTTTCTACTGGGTATGGTTAAATAATAATAAATTAGAAGCACATCGGGAGTCCGCTATTGCTACTTATGTAGTGAAATTACTGATCCTGCGACCCTTAAATCTCTGTGTGCCAGATGCTACGAGACGAGACTGAGGCGTCCGCTACTGCTTGCCGTGCCTTCAGCACGAACTAATCTCCAGGCATAAACGCTTATAACTCGAGCTCTTCACGGGGTCAACTGTGTGCATCTTAAAATAGAAGATATATTTAGTTGTCCCTATAGTCAATTATCAATGGCCATATTATATTTTATATGTTACTGTTAGGCTATATTTTTTTCGAAAAGGATATTTGTTATTTATTGTACTTTTTTTTGCTGATTTTGTATATTTTTACTGTTTAATGTTTGTATTGTTTTATATTAGTTTGTTTAGCTACATACAAATGTTTTAATATTATTAGTGAATGATTTAGTTTATAATTATTTTATTAGCGGAGCCGGCTCAGGTATCGGCACAGCTACGGCCAAAGAATTCTCTAAAGAAGGCGCTTACGTTGTTAGATAGTCGATCGAAACGAGACAAAAATGGAAAAAGTTGCTGCTGAACGTGAGTCCTATGGGAAGAAGCCTTTGGTGGTTAAAGCTGATGTATCAAAAGACACGGAAGCTAAAGCAGCTATAGACAAAACTATACAGAAATTTGAGAAGCTGGACATTTTAGTGAATAACGTAAGAATCTTAAGGTACGTTTAATACACGGTCGAATATTGGAAGCTTATGACGAAGTGATGGCAACAAATCTGCGAGCAACCGTTCATCTTACAAGCTTAGCTGTTCCACATTTGATAAAAAAGAAAGGAAATATTGTAAACATTTCTAGCGTTGCTGGATCTTGTGTGGCGCCTCTGCTGCTAGTTTCTCACAGCGTATCTAAAGCATGCTTGAATCATTTTACCCGTGGGGCAGCTTTAGAACTGGCTCCATATGGAGTAAGGGTAAATGCAATAAGCCCTGGACCAGTGTACACTGACATCTATGAAAATGCTGGAACGGTGAGTCATGTAGATAAAAGCAATATAAAGACACCCCACGGTACGATATCTGATCCAATTGAAATAGCTCATCTAGTTTTATTTTTGTCCAGTGATAAAGCTCAAGCCATCACGGGCTCGAATTATATGTCCGACAACGGATACCTTTTGTCACCTTAAATTTGTAAGATTGTTTATTTAAATAGACGTATTGGAAAAATTATTGATTTTTTATCATTTCGTAGCTGCTTTCTTGACCCATCTTTCTAGACCGTATAGTAGCAGTGTAAGAATATCTACCGTCCTATATCATCCTGTTAGTTTCGTAGGTGGTGACAATGAAAAACTGAAACAGATGATGATCTTTTTGACAAAAACTCAAAATTAACTTTATATATATATATATATAGCCCAACGGATTAGTAAGCTGAAGTGGCAATGGGCCGGCTATATAGCTCGAAGAACCGATAACCGATGGGGAAGAAAGGTTCTCGAGTGGCAGCCTCGTACCGGTAGGCGTAGTGTAGGGCAACCCCTCACTAGATGGAGTGACGACCTGGTAAGATATGCAGGAAGTCGATGGATGCAGGTGGCTCAGGACCGTGCTTTGTGGCATTACTTGGGGGAGGCCTATGTTCAGCAGTGGACTTGTGAAGGGCTGTAATGATGATGATGATGATATATATATATATATATATATATATATATATATATATATATATATATATTGGTTTGCACCTTCCAAGCTTGGTAAATATGGCAACACTCTTATGAGCTGGCACAGGTTCGGGAAAACCCTCTCTCCTGGGAAGAACCAGCAACAAACCTAGCGGATTTTTTTTTCAAAGTACATTATACAATATTTATAGATACAGCTTGAAAGCGACCTCTTCATTCTCAGGGGTTATAATCAACCATGTGTTCATTTATTTAATAACCCTTTCTGTACAGTTTTTGTTCAATTAAATATTTAAACTTGGTAATAGAGAACTTGTGTGGTATCTGGGACTTTGAAAAACCCATGAATGAATGACTGATTCTGTGGAGTCGAGAAACCTGTGTTTGTTCCTGGTGTAGAGAAAACATTACTTGTTTTAATTAATATTACTTTAGTTTTTGTAAACATATATTAATTTTTCGTAAATATTCTGAGAGGTCAAAGTTAATATATTTATTTCTTAAAAAAAATTCTCTGAGAGAGTCGATTTGTGACGGCGTGCTCATATTATCATAATGCCTTACGTATTTTTTTAGAAAACATTTCCACGAAAATGTTTACGATTTTATTGTTTGTTTAAACATTATTGTTTTGGAGCGTTTTATTTTAAGTAAATAAATAAGATAAGAAATTTGTTGCGAAGTGAAAAGGTCAACCGATATACGTTATATATTTTACAGTATTTTTATTCACCGTATTAGGTTGATTATCGACATTTGAATTTATTTGACTGTTTCAAATATAGCCAAATACTAAAAAGAGTAAATTTACGGCCTGTAATAATTTCCACCAGACCGAATTTCGGTCAAGGCGGCCGCAGGACAGGATTATAGTATCCGAGTATATGCGCAAGCACAGGTGCAGTCTCTATTCCCTCACTCTCATTCGCGTGTGATTTTGGTGTTCGATCGGGCGACAATCCGAAACGACCGGTGAGAGATCAGGTTCAGGACTAATGGTTTTAGGCACGAGGTAGTAACACCGCCAACTCCTAACTCTGGGCTGCTACTGCAAATTTATTGACAGAAAAACTCAATAATTGATTTTTGTCCCGACCCAAAATTCGAACCTGCGATCTCATGATCAGGAGTCATGTTTATGACCATTAGACCAACGAGTTGCTTCTGTACTGTAAATTTTATGGCTAGTACTAAGCCCCTAAGCTACTACGGTTTTATAAGAAGTATTTAAGCTATACAGCTTAAATACTTCTTATAAAACCACTATACAGTAATTTTTGTGGTAATTCTGACAGCAGGGGCAGCGCCCCAAACTATATTTAAAAAAATCTATTCTGAAGGAAAACAAACCAGTTTTTTAGCTTCAATTCTGAAAATCCTTAAACTCTTACGTAATAGTATTTAGTAGGCTAAATAAGCCTTTATTAAACTTTATCTACATATTATATTAATATTTATTTCTAGCGCCTACTTAAATATTAATAGACATTTTGCTCCACAAAAACAAAAGGAGCCTGTCCGGTTCTGTTTAATATCTGTATACGGGTGTCATTATACACGGGATATTATACTTATATAAATTATATACTCCATATATAATATATCCATGTATATTATATTCCAAAGAAACAATATATATATATATATATATATATATATATATATATATATATATATATATATATATATATTGTTTTGGAATATAAAGAGATAACACTAATTGTTTGCAATGATACGTTTCAAACATGAGTTTTAGTGAATAAGTAGTGTTTATTACTGGAGCCAGTTCTGGTATTGGTGCAGCGATAGCTATAGAATTCGCTAAAGAAGGCGCTAATGTCATTATATTCGGCAGAAATGAGGTAAAAATGAAAAATATCTCCGAAAAATGTGAAACGTATGGGAAAAAACCATTAGTAATCAAAGCAGACATATCCAAGAATAAAGAAGTTATGGCGGCTGTTAGGTAAACGATTGAAACGTTTGGAAAACTGCATGTGTTAGTTAACAATGCGGGAATCTTAAAAGTGTATTGATATTCTAGATAAAGGAGTGTTAGAGTGTTACGATGAATTAATGGGAACAAACCTTCGCGCGGTTGTTCATCTCACTACTTTAGCAGCTCCATACCTAATCAAAACGAAGCGTAATATTGTGAACATCTCTAGTGTTTCTGGATCTTGTATAACACACACATCATTTGGTTCATATAGTGTGACTAAAGTGGGGCTGAAACATTCTATTTTCATCAAGTGAAAAAGCTAAAGCCTGTACTAGTTATAACTATGTGAATGATAAATGATAATGGTTTTCTTTTGACAAGTTTTTTTTTATTGAAGTGACAAATGAATTCGTGGTAAGCGGCTACTGTAGTCTATGGACACCTGTTTTTTAATATACATGGGGAGATGCCTACGCCTCTCCTCGCGGGAGCAAGGACGGGTTATATTGGACTCGCACCAACTAAAACCCTATGTTTTTCCACCTTCGCGCATATGAGAAAGGTCACGGAAACGTTTTCGCACATATCTGGGCAGCCACCAGTGACAGTCACCCGTCTTTGGAGGAGGATTTCTCCTCTTCCCTTGCTTATACAGGTAAGGCGCACCAGGAACTCTTGGCGCTACTTCCTTAGCGGAAACTCCACCTACACAAACGACCAACCCCGAGTCTGATATGCAGGGAAGCGCCAGCTTTCTACCCGTGGATCTGGTCTGTGGCTCCGCCGCCAACCAAGTTTCAGCCGCGGAGGGTAAAGACAGCGGTGCCTCGCAATACAGCCACTCCTCTCCCCTCGTGGCTCCATCACCATCACGTCAACGGTGCGGCCCTGCCGGAATCTCGGAGGATAGAGCGAGTGGCGTATCGCCACAGCAACGCTCATCTTCTTCAGTTTAACAAGTTTTTTTCCCACTTTCATTATTTTATAGGTGTTATTATTTTTATCCGGCGGCTGTCCCAGAAAAAGGGTGATGTTTTTCGAGTTTATGTATGTAATTATGTATTTTTTACTTCAAGACGCAGTGAGTTCATTCTGCGTAGATCGGACTATAAATCTATACATATAATAAATAAAAAGATGAAAGTACTTCAAGTGAAAATTGATATCAGGACGTCAGCCACGTTAGTGCTCCGTGACCATGGGTGCTAGAAAGCACCCTAAACGTTGGTAATTAAAAATTATTTAAATTAAACCAGAAAAAAATCCGTAAAAGTAGTTTAAATCAATGTGTAGTGTTTGCTTAAGTATAAGAAATCATTATGGCTTGATGAATTTTAACATATTATATCTTCACCGTCTTAGGCTACATCATCTCTTACCATCAGGTGTAGAATAGTAAAAAAAAATCTCAAATCACGCCCTTCAGCCATCTGCATCCGGCGATTAACTATATGTCTTACCAGGTCATCACTGCGTCTAGAATAAACGTCTTACACGCCATCTACTGGTACCTACGAAGCTAACACTCGAGAACCTTTCTTAGCCATCGGTTGTCGGTTCTTCGAGTTATATGGGCGGCGTATCGTCATTTAAGCTTACTACTTAATCAGAAATCAGAAATATTTATTGACCTTAATATAACAATCGTTACAGGCAAGTCATTGGTTACGAAAGTTTTAATAAATTTATAAGGTTAAATTATATTATTGTACTATTTGCATAATTTAGTTACATTAATGATTTACGTCATAGAATTAAGTAATTTATTTTGTTTGCACGTTACACAAGAATGACGATTCCATGAGTTGCATTCACATGTTTTCGCTTAATTTGTAAAATGGGTTGTTCTCAAAGAAATACTCAAGTGTCCGTTCAAATTTGCTATAATGTAGGCTGGTTAAACTTTTTGGTAATTTGTTATACGTCAATATTTTTGAGTAACGCCCATTTTTTTTTACTTTCACTAATCTATTCATGGGTAGAACACGTTTTTCATTATTACGCAGATTGTGTTGATTTATGTCTTTCTTTTTCGGTATTTCTTTATCCTCGTGTACCTCTAATAAACTATTATTATATATAAAGCGAAACCACTGTCATTATTTTGTCGTTCTTAAGATGTTTTCTTGCCGGGCTACTTTTTTTCAAATTCGTTTGCGTTGTTAGATTCGACTTAGTTATGGAAGTGATATAGAGTTTAAAAGGTTTCTCCCATCAATTAAATATTTTATACAATCAAGTTTTTAAATCAACGTTTTAACTGTAAGGTTTGTTAAAAAGAAGGAATAAAAATATGAGTTTACAATACAACAAGAAGACTCATTAAAAACAGTAATATTGATTTAATTTCTTACGCTAAACCTAGCCACATAATGACACTGTCCCGTGTTGCGTATCACTATATCTGTAAAACAATATATGGCTATTTTAATATAAAGCCGGTTCACAATGTTGCAGTGGCACATTAGTGTCGTTATGATCCATTCAGGTACACTTAACTTAACATAAGCACCTAAGATTAAGACCTAACTAACTCACCTAAGACAAGCAGAATGGGAGATTGCGAAGATTCTTAAGAGAAATCGCCGTTTGAGTTTGAATACACGGCGTCCTGTAAATGACTTAAAGCTTTAATTAATAAAAAAATTTCTTAATAACAAAACTTTATTATTAAGAATTGTAATCAAAAAACTTTTGTCTTGATCCTGTAAAACTAAGTGGGATTTAAATAAAAATTACAATTGAGTGTTCTATATTTGGTATGAATATAATAAATTTAGATTTATTAACATTTAAAATCAAATTAATAACGCCATACCAATATAAGGGGTGTCTCAGAATGTTTTTCGTTTTTGAATTGACCAATTCCCGACAACCGCAGGTAGCAGGGGGAGGGGAGTGGACTCAAATGTTTGGCCGGCTTGTTAAGTTTAGTAGCCATGAATCGTTTCACGGGACCACAGCGCGCGTTTTGCGTGCGAGCGTTTTATAAAAACAACGATTCTTACACTGTTGTTCGTCGTCTCTACAGGACACATTTTAATTTAACAAGCTTAAGACATATGCCAAGTGCCAATTTAATTAAGCATTGGGTGCGCAAGTTTGAAGAGACTGGAAATACAATGCCGGACATATCGACTGGGCGCAAAAGGACATCAAGAACGAGCTTGAACGTCGACATCGTTCACCAGTCTGTTATGAACGACCCACGACAGTCGTTGAGATTGCGCGCAGCTTCTCTTAATCTGAACAAATCTACGGTTCATCGCATTATTTCGAAAGATTTACATTTTCACCCCTATAAAATTGTAATTGTTCAAGAAATGAAGCCTGATGATCCTGATAAACGAGTCGAATTCTGCAGGATAATGAAAAACCGTTTTAGGAGTTTCAATAACATCTGGTTCTCCGACGAATCGAATTTTCACATCAACGGTCACGTGAATAAACAAAACTGCAGATACTGGGCTCCCGAGAATCCGTTAGAACTGCATCAGTAGCCCTTGCAATCGCCAAAAGTTGTTGTTACCATATCAAGTCAAGGAATTATCGGTCTTTATTTTTTTGAGGATGACCGAGGTCGAACTCAGACCGTTAATTCTGATCGATATTGCCATATGATCCGGACTTGCAAAACCAGAACTGCTACAACCGCAACACCTTTTTCCAGCAAGATGGAGCCCCTTCTCATGTTACAAATGACTCATTAGCTGCTCTTCACGATTTATTCCCTGGAAGAGTGAAAAGTCGCCGAGGAGACATCAACTGGCCACCGCGGATTACTTCCTATGGGGCTACCTGAAAAGTAAAGTTTACAATCCATTGCCACCCAACCTGGATGTTTTGAAGCAAAGATGATTCTTTAGATAGAGTTGATTTCTTCGGTGATCTGAAGAAATCAACTCTATTCCAAGAGCGATGCTCCAGCGAGTGATTGAAAATTTTAGCTCCAGGTTAAATGAGTGTGAACAAGTGAATGGTGCGCATTTACAAACGGTGGTTTTTCATAAATAAACTTCAAGAATTGCTCTTTAAATAAACCATAAATAAAACAAGTTTTAATTGATATTGTTGTTTTTTATTTAACATCTAAAAACGAAAAACATTCTGAGACACCCTTTACTTATTTTGATACAGCATTATCGTTCAGCTGAGGCGCCGCGTGTTCAAATCCCGCACGGAACAAGTATTTGTATGGCTTACAAATAATTGTTCCGAGTTTGTTATTGTGAAAATTATGTATGTAAGCTCAGATAACATGATACACTAGAAAATCCTAGTATAAAGTCTATAAAATAAAGAAAAGAAAGCGTATTTATTCACTTCGTTATATTTTAATTGTAAATATCGCGTTAAGTTTTATTTACAGTGCCGACACCGATATCGGTGTATTTTTTTACGTGAACGTTCGTTGGAACGGACGTAAGAGATATCGTGAAAGCTGTAAAGCCTTTTATATTAAAATATATTACGTAATTACGCAGATATAATTGTGCTGTGAAAAAGATTTATCAGTACACTCGACAAACGAACGCGCGACAAACGTCTGATACGATTTAGCAACGATGAGCTTTAAGGATAAAGTAGTGTTCATTAGCGGAGCTAGCTCAGGAATTGGTGCAGCTACGGCCAAAGAATTCTCTAAGGAAGGCGCTTACGTTGTTATAGTCGATCGTAATGAGACTAAAATGGAAAAAGTTGCTGCTGAATGTGTGTCCTATGGGAAGAAATCATTGGTGATTAAAGCTGATGTGTCAAAAGACAACGAAGTTAAAGCAGCCATAGACAAAACAATACAGAAATTTGAGAAACTAGACATTTTAGTGAACAATCAGGAACGAGCAGGAATCATAAGATATGAAAATTTTATAGACGGTCGAATATTGGAAGCTTATGACGAACTAATGGCAACGAATCTGCGAGCAACCGTTCATCTTACAAGCTTAGCTGTTCCACATTTGATAGAAACGAAAGGAAGCGTTATAGACATTTATAGTATTGCTTGATCTTGTGTGGCGCCTCCGTTACAAGTTTCTTACAGCGTATCTAAAGCATGTTTGAATCATTTTACCCGTGGGGCACCTTTAGAATTGGCTCCATATGGAGTAAGGGTAAATGCAATAAGCCCTGGACCAGTGTACACTGACATCTATGAAAATGCTGGAACTGTGGGCCATGTAGTAATAGCAAAATAAAGACACCCCTCGGCACGATATCTGATCCAATTGAAATAGCTCATCTAGTTTTATTTTTGTCCAGTGACAAAGCTAAAGCCATCACGGGCTCCAATTATGTGTCCGACAGCGGATACCTTTAGTCACCTTAAATGTGTAAGATTGATTATTTAAATAGACGTATATGGAAAAATTATTGATTTTTTTATATCATTTTGTAGCTGCTTTATTTTTACAAAACATTCTTTCAAGACCGTGTAGTAGCAGTGTGAGAATATCTACTGTGCTCATAGATATAAGAAATAAGGAGATATGCTCAGTAGTTGAAAATGTATCGGAACCCGGTGTCTCCAGTTTGCCCCTACCACGCGCCAACTATTACATATGCACATCAGTAAAAGCAATAGATACACAATCGCGCACACTGTCGCATTTTATAAATCAGTACATACTACACAACCAATTATAAACCTTATCTCATTATACGCAGCGTGCATTTACCATGCACCGTACAAAACTTATTCACACAAAAACATCTGTCGCTATCATTCACTCACAAAAGCCGGCAGCGGCTGCTTCACTAAACTATCGTGTGAGTGAGAGTATCAGTAAAACACTTATCCATTGCGCTATTAGACCAGCTGATTCACAGGTCGATTTGTACTAAGCAAGTAATGGTTTTTGTTCCTAATGAAAACATTTGATTTGGTTTTTCATCGTGTTTCTAGTACCACGAAGTAATGTTTTAATAAATTGAATAAGAAAAACATTAATATTTTAGTACTTACGTGTGAAATGAGATGGCATATTTCATGTAATTCACAATACAGCTGTTATTTTTGCAAACAATCACAGAACAACGCGGCATTTTGTCAAAAATCACGAGCAGTGAAGACGTCACAAGTTGACATTCGACTAATTACCGAAACTGGCATCAGGCCGTTTTGCGGCCAGATGCGTTCGCAAGTGCCACGCCTCCTTGCCATATCTCCTGTTGTTTATATGATCTGCGACTGTGCTATATCATCACGTGGGTGTTGTAAGAGGGAACAATGGAAAACTGAAACAGGAGATGATGATCTTTTTTTTACTTAACAACTCAAAATTACAAAAACTTCGGCCCCCAACCTACCTGCCAAGCTTCCCCATACTACCTGCCAAGCTTGGCCACTATGGAAACGCCCATATAAGTTGTCACTTGTGTGGAAAACCCTGTGTCCTGGAAAGAACTACCAAGAAACACAGCGGCACTTTTTTTTTCAAAGTATATTATACAATAGATAGCCAGGTTGTATAAACTACTTACAAGACTTATTTCAGAAACAGCTTGGAAGCGACCACCTCATTCTCAGGGGTTATAATCAACCATGTGTTCAGTTAGTTATAATAACCCTTTCTATACATCTTCTGTTTAATTAAATATTTAAACTTGGTAATAGAGAACTTGTATATTTTCTGGGACTTTGAAAAACCCTTGAATGAATTACTGATTCTGTGGAGTCGAGAAACTGGTATCAGTAACTTGTGTTTGTTCCTGGTGTAGAGAAAACATGACATAAAACAAACAGTTTTTGCAAACATATATTAACTTTTCGTAAATATTCTAAGAGGCCAAAGTTAATATATTTATTTGTTTAAAATTTTCTCTGAGAGACTCTTGTTTGTGACAGCGAGCTCATATTTTCATAATACCTTACGTATTTTTTTAGAAAACATTTCCACGAGAATGTTTACGATTTTATCGTTTGTTTAAACACTATTGTTTTGGATTGTTTTATTTTAAGTAAATAAGATAAGAAATTTGTTGCGAAGTGATAAGGTCAACCGATATACGTAATATATTTTAGAGTATTTTTATTCACCGTGTTAGGTTGATTGTGGACTTTTGAATTTATTTGATTCTTTCAAATATGCCCAAATACTAAAAAGAGTAAATTTTCGATCTATAATAATGTCTACCAGACCAAATTTCGGTCAAGTTGGCCGGTCTCCACGGAGACTATCCATCTGCGCAGGACAGGATTATCGTGCACAAGTGTATGCGCAAGCACAGGTGCACTCTCTATTCCCTCATTCATAATCACTCTCATTCGTATGTGATTGTGGTGTTTGATCGGGCGATAATCCGAAACGACCGGTGAGAGATCAGGTGCAGGACCAATGGTTCTATTTTAGGCACGAGGTTGTAACACCGCCAACTCCTGACTCTGGAATGCTACTGAGAATTTCTGGACAGAAAAACTCAATAACTGATCTCTTGGATCAAACTTTGCTTTACAATATCTGCCATAACAAATTTGATTGTAATGAACTCACCAATCAAATATACATTCCTATACCCAGTCGCTAGTAGCGTATACGTGAGCTACATTCACATCAAATTTTCTCTACAAAACCAAGTAAACCAATGCAGGTGCACGTGCACCTCTAAATCGTATAATGGCATTGTACAACAACAAATTTAATGATATGGATATCTTTGGATTAACTTCTTCTAGATATAAAAAAACTGTGTATGAGGTTATATCTGAATTTGAAGCAACTTAATGTAATTGTTTATTTAGGGTAAAATTAATTTTTCATATCTATGTATTATCTATATATGTGTATGTGCGTGTATGTATATGTTTGTATATATGTATGTAGTTGTGTGTGTGTGTATGTATATGCGTGCACATTTAATCAGTTTGTTTTTCTCTGTATTTATTGGTGAACGGGTCGTTTTTTAATAGAACATTACATTTTCATTTTAATTGTTACGTACACAGACGCAGTAGTAATATGTGGATAACGGTGTTGATTGAATGATTATTAAGCTTACATATAGTATTGTGTTTAATAATAGGATTATATTGTACAATTGTTTCTTATCCCTAATAAAGAGAAAAAAAACTGATTTTTGTCCCGATCCAAAATTTTTACCTGCGATCCCATGATCAGTAGTTACGTTGATGACTACTAGACCAACGCGGCAGTCAGTAATTTTCGGTTAGTTAGACTTCTTCTCATTTATGAAAGCGGTCTGTCTTCCTTCATCGCCGAGCATGTGGTAAATCAGCATTTAAAATTGAAATTGAGGAGACCAGAGACTCTTAGTGGTAATGATGCATTCTTGCATGCATCTTTTGACGTGGTAGAGCCATTCTGCAGCCATATTATTGTATGAGAAAGACAAAGCTCTCATAGGATAACAGAGTGAAGTATAATCTCAACGCTGCCATGTTTCTTATGGTAAGTGTAGAGAACCTTCCTTCACTGGAAACGAGGCATTCCATCTCAGTCCTTCGCAATCTGCATTTTGATTCTCAATCGAGGATAGACGTAGATATCTAAGGGCCATTACACATATTTACCATCAGATTGGCTGGTGTTCAACACACAAAATGGGGGGCTGGCCTTTTTATTTACCCATATTCCATAAAAAATAATAATTTAATTGGTGCCGGCGGAAATCGAACCCGGGTTACTCACTTACTGTAAATTTTATAGCTAGTGCGAAGCCCCTAATCTACTACGGTTTTCTACGAAGTATTTAATCTGTATAGTTAATTTTTGTGATAATTCTGATACCAGCACCCTAAACTATATTTATTTAAAATCAATTCCGAAGGAAAACAAACCAGTTTTTTAACTAAAATGCTGACAATCCTGAAACTCTTATGTAATGGTATTTAATAGGCTAAATAAGTCTTTCTTAAATTATATCTACATAATACATATTAATATTTATTTCTAGCGCCTACTTAAATATTAATAGACAAAATGCTCCACTAAAACACAAGGAGCCTGTCCGGTTCCGTTCTGTTTTGCCATCTGTATATCGATGTCATTATATATCATATTGTTTATTTGGAATACATAGAGATAACAGTAACTGTTTGCAATGATAACTTTCAGTATAGTTTGCGACATCGCTCAAATCAGGCATAAAGTTAAAACATGAGCTTTAGTCAAAAAGTAGTGTTTATTACTGGAGCCAGTTCTGGTATTGGTGCAGCGATAGCTATAGAATTCGCTAAAGAAGGCGCTAATGTCATTATAGTCGGCAGAAATGAGGTAAAAATGAAAAATATCTCCGAAAAATGTGAAACGTATGGGAAAAAACCATTAGTAATCAAAGCAGACATATCCAAGAATAAAGAAGTTATAGCGGCTGTTAAGAAAACGATTGAAACGTTTGGAAAACTGGATGTGTTAGTTAACAATGCGGGAATCTTAAAGTGTATTAATATTCTAGATAAAGGAGTATTAGAGTGTTATGATGAATTAATGGGAACAAACCTTCGCGCGGTTGTTCATCTCACTACTTTAGCAGCACCATACCTAATCAAAACGAAGGGAAATATTGTGAACATCTCTAGTGTTTCTGGATCTTGTATAACACACACATCATTTGGTTTATATAGTGTGACTAAAGCGGGACTGAATCATTTTACTCGTGCAGCTGCTTTGGAACTGGCTCCATATGGGGTTAGAGTAAATGCGATAAGTCCTGGACCTGTAGATACAGATATATTAGAGAACACTGGCCCATCAATTTATTTAGATGACATTAAAATAAATACGCCACTTGGAAGATCGTCCAAAAGTGTTGAGATTGCAGATTTAGTTCTATTTTTATCAAGTGAAAAGGCTAAAGCCTGTACTGGTTGTAACTATGTAAGTGATAACGGTTTTCTTTTAACAAAATAAAAAATTGGTTGATAAAACTTTTATTTAATTTTAACATTTAATTACTTAATTAAACTGAAGTAAGTTGACAAATGCAGTCAATTTCATACGAAAAAGGCTACAGGTGCATTGTACCTAATCCCGAGGACTAAATAAAATACCTCACAATATCTTAATTAAACTTGCTCTCTATACTTTTTTTCAATAAAGTACAATATTATGACATTTAAAAAAAACTAAAATTATCATACAATTCTATTTCTTTGTACCATAATAACATGTTAAAGACTTGGTGGACAAGGAGTGAGAGTAGTCTATGTTCACAAATATCATGTTAATCTTATTCCTCATTTTATTTTCTAACACCACAGTAGAAAATTCTCTCGTAACACAGAGACGTTTTACATAAAAACAGACATCAATACCCGGAACAATTATTTGTAGGCAACATAAAAATAATTATTTCGTTTCAGATAGGAACCTGAGGCCCACGGTAATGCTGTCAAACACTTAGCCACTTTACAATATAATTAAAAGAGGTGAGTAGAAGCCTAATACTCTTCTATGCCGTGTAGTGGTAGTGTAAGAAACCACTGCACCATGTTATCCCGTGAGTGTCGGAGGAGGCGACAAAGGGAAATGAAAAAGGAGATGAACAGTAGTATCTTCAAGACAACTTAAAATAAAAAAAATTGCGTTTGCCAACCCGCCTTTCCAACTATAGCAAGTAGGTATAGCCCCTATGATACAAACTGTCCGGAAGGCCTATGTGTAGCAGTGGACTTTTAATAGGCTGTTGTGGTTGAATGAATGAATGATGATTATAACGATAATACGTTCACACAGAGCAGACGTGCATTTGGGTCACCAATAAAATTGTAATAACTTACTTTTCTAAACTGAACATGCTGTACAGTGACAAATATTAATTTGCAACTGGGAGTCCATTGCTTGTTGCGACATTTCATAAACTACTTGACAAGACCCCTCAAGGTGAGAGCACAGACATTGTATGATGTATAGCACCCAAAGCTCACCCTTTGATTTATAACGCATTGGTTAAACCACACTTACTTTATTTAATAGACATGTGGGGTCAAAACTTATCTACAAAAGGTGCAAGTACTGACAAGTAAATTAACCATAATTCTATATCATTACCACTTTTAACACCGACCAAAAAATATACCATGAAACAAAATTCCTAAACAATTATACATCTATAACACATGTATATTAATATATAAAATGACACATAATACGATCCATTCAAATATAACATTTACCACAAAAGGAGAAACACTAAAACACTCATGACGCCGCGCAAACCATCTTGTATTACCAAATATTCGCACTAACTATGGAAAAAATGCCGTAACATTTGCGGGAACACAGTTGTATAATAAACCCTAAATATATCTAAATCCCTTTAACTATAAAAGAGTAAGTTCGCTCAATATTTTCAAGAAAAATTACTAGACCGCATTCATTATAAAACAAAACATTATATAACTTGGACCACCGTCTTATATTATCAGCACTCGAAACACTGCTATAACGCATGTATATTATTATTTGTAAGGTTATTTCTTTTGAATTAAATTAAAACGGAATCCAATCATTATTAATTATAACTTATTTGACGCGCCTATGTGTATATGACGTAATTGTGCCTTAGGCTTATTATTAGATAAGATATAAAAGATTAGAGAAGATGTTGAAGTACTTTGTATGGGTGGATGACGAGGGGGGTATTTTTATAGAGTTACCGAGATTCCTTTTCGTCTTGAGTATGGTTGATTTAGAAACCCTAATGATTAAGAGAGTGATGTCAACTGTTAGGCACTATCTTTTTATAATTCACCACAAGTTGGACTACCAGTCGGTTGTGGAGAGAATCGGTTTCTTTGGTGTCAAGGTACCTGCAGAGAGATAATGGAGAAACGGTGGCTCCGCGCCGTAGGCCGCTTCTCCTAAACAGACCAGTTACACGTACCAAACGTGCTGCGTTTGCTCCAACAAATCGAGTATTTTAATACTAATAGGGGACATACTCACTCAACACGATAAAATTGACATATTATTTGCAGTCTGCTGACTCTTTTTTATAAAATTATCGATGATAAGACAATAATTGTCTTATCATCGATAATTTTGTAAAAAAGGAGAAGATTAATTATTAAGACTGATCCGATGAATACATAATTTCTATTAAAATTAAAAAAAAAAAACGCTGCTATAAGGTCTAAAATTGCGTAGCACCCGCGACGAATAAGACCGCTTAGAAATTCATCAGAATCTTGAAATATTATTTAATAATTATTGATTTAAGTAATCAAAATATTGAGCAAGTAAATTATGAATAATAATAATGTCCTCCAGACCGAATTTCGGCCACGGCGGCCTGCCTCAACGGAGGCTAGCCATCATAAATTATGAATATTGATGTTATGAATAAATATATTTAAGTGATTCCCAAACATATATAATATAATAATATAATAATTTGGTTATAATTTCAACTATAGTGATTTTTTAGAGGTGTTTTCGCAAATAATCTTTCTATTTTAATTCATTAACCCTGCTGCTTAAAGCTTAGAGATTTTGTATTACTATTATTTTATTATTATTTAATTTATGATTGTTAATTTTAATAATTATATTATAAACGATAAATATAATTTTTGTTGTTATAATTTATGTTATTTTGGAGATACAATTTTTTTAAATATTTTTGCATGTAAAATTTAACCTTGTGTGCGGGTTGGATTTTCTGTAAGCCACAAGAGTTTATTGAATAAAATAAATAAAATATATAAAATCAGACATAACACGCTCCATTCAAATATAACGTTCACCACAAAAGGAGCAACTCAAAATAAAATAGATAAAAATAGGTTACTCATCAAGCCGCGCAAACCATCTTGTATTACCAAATATTTGCACTAATTATGAAAAAAAAAAAGCCGTAACACTGCAGGAGCACAGTTGTATAATAAACTCCCTTCTACTATAAAAGATACAAGTTTGCTCAATATTTTCAAGAAAAAATTATTAGACCACATTAAAAAACAAGACATTATATAACTTGGACCACCGTCTTATATTATCAACACATGAAACATCGCTGTTACGCAGCTAACTTGCAACTTCTATTTAATTTTGATCTACCCTAATTTATGTTTACTTTTTTATTTTTTTGTTTTGTGTTACATTTTAAATTGTATGAATGTGTTCATATATGTGAGTGACATTAGTCTTAATGAGTAAATAAAGATCTAAACCAAATGACGAGGGCTAATTATTAATTAGCTTTCTACTAAGTAATTTCTCTTTAACTAGTAATTTCACCTTTCTTTGATAAATAATTACTTAAATGTAGGCGTATTACTAACTTTGAGGGACGGAGTTGAATTTTGGTTGCCAGTATCGATAACTGTGTATCAGTATTGAAAAGGCATCACAATCATCATCATCGTCATCACAACCCATTACATATCCTGCTGTACATAGAATTTCAGGGTACAACAGCGTAATTCTGCTGGGTTTTGTACGGTGGGTGTAATGAAGGTGAGGCCATTTTTACTGGACAACGCATCTACTTTTTGATCCTTAATCAAGGATAGATGTAGATGTTTATTGGCCAAAGCCTTAACTCACCTTCAGGTGCATTGTTTGTCACTCGAATTCTATAACAGTAAAAATTTAAGTAAATATAAGGTCTAGCATTGATTTTAGACCGATACGTATAAATGTATGCAGGCGCTGCATTTCTATTTTTTTTTTGGTAGAAGTTATAACTTCTATTAAATATCTTAAATCTTGTTGAATATCCTTTCTGCCTCCCACTTTAAAACGGAACAGACACAGTGGTACCTAAAATAATATAATGTACGTCATTGCACATTATATTAATAGGGATAGAAGAGACTTACAAATACACATATAAATAATAGAAACATAAGAACTATTTACAAAAAATTAAGAAAACTGATAGGAAAAGAAACAAAATATGTGAATACAAATTATATTGTCAACTCTTCTAAATATCATTTACACTTACAAAGATTTACCTTAACCTCAATATTTTATCTTTAATATCTAGGGTACATAGATACATATTCAGCCCATAACCAACACACACACACATAGTAAAGACATATGCCTTTTATATTTTAACTGCACTTTCATGCATATCAATTCTTTAAGAGATATCCATTGTCTGAAACATAATTAGATCCAGTAATGCTCTTTGCTTTATCACCGGATAAGTATAAAATGAGTTCGGCGATTTCTTCGGGTTCAGCGACTCTGTTCAGTGCTGTCATCTTTTGGAATGAATCAACTGTGATCGGAGCGTTCGCATTTTCAAATATATCAGTTCTAACTGGTCCAGGACTAATAGTGTTCACCCGGACACCGTACTGAGCTAACTCTAGAGCAACTCCGCGAGAAAATTGGTCCAGTGCAGCTTTCGATATGAAATAGGGCAGCGTACGCGATGACATACTTATTGACGAGCCCGCCGTGCTGGATATGTTGACAATACTGCCTTTTGTTTTTATTAGGTGTGGAGCTGCTAAATTAGTTATATAAACATGCGCTCGGAGGTTAGTATTTAGTGTCTCGTCGTAAACTTTCATCAGATTTTCATCTAAAATACTGGTAAATCTACAAATCCCAGCATTATTCACTAAAATATCTAGCTTGCCAAATGTGTCTATTGTTTTCTTGATTACGTTTACGGCTTCTTCGTCGTTCGAAATATCAGCTTTGATTAAAAGATGTTTCTTGCCATATTTCTCACACTGTTCCACAACATTCTTTAGTTTCACTTCGTTTCTTCCCACTAAAGTAACATTAGCACCTTCTTTTGCAAATAGGATGGCTGTAGCAGCACCTATTCCGGAGCTAGCTCCAGTCACGAGCACAACTTTGTCAACGAAACTCATCGCGATCCGACACTGAGCAGTGACGCACTGATACTGTTTATAATCGCCCTGTAGGTACAAAGAATATGA